TAAGACGCAGACACGTAGGTTGCGAAGGGTGATCCTCGCGACAAGGGTTCAAGTTCTATTTGCACCTCTTCTAGTATAAACATCTATTAGGTCATGTTGTACTGGCCATAACCTAATGGCTAAGGGGCTACTATTGGGTGAGCCTATGAGGTATGTTGGCCAAATCTCCCTCTAGAAGAGTCCCAACTAGTAGCTAGCGTAGTGTCATGTGAAATCCAAGCTCACCAAGGGTCCACTTGTCAATAGCCATTGCCTATATGTGTCCAAGGGCACGAGGGCAAGAGACTTCACCTCCTACTCATTTCTACTGTTCAAAATCCTAGTGTGTCCCCTCTCCACCACTAAGCTCTCTCCTCCCTCCCTTTCTCTCTCCTGTTTGGAACGTTTAGTTTCAACACATTACTTAACATTCATCATATTGATTAATATAGTATTGTGATCAGCACTCAGTATTCAACAGTTCAATAATTATTTGGTTTATACATCATTTATTAAGTAAAAACCTAAAGGAGAGAGATATAGATTATAGTCTTTTAGACTAAAGAATGAATATCTACCTCGATCATGATAGTGGTGATAAAGATATATCACGGCTAAACCAAATAGTAGTGTTTAGCGGAGCTAAAAATTTCAGTAACGGCAATAGAGGAACAATTGATAATAGTGTAGCGGTAGACCCTATGAAAAGCTATTTAAAACCATGTTCACAACTATTAAATTTGTTTTATTGGTTTACAGCAGGTTAGAGATGATGTACGCATTGGGATGGGCATTTGTACAGGGTCAGTCACTGTCTTAGTGTTTTCACTTGTCTGCATCATGATCTACAAGATTTGTTATGATAGTGTGTATGCATATCTCTATTCATGGATCAAAGACATGTTTTTGAGTTACCTGTATGACACATATATCTATATATACGTGTTTACATTTATAAAGAAGTTGCTTATAGGGCAGCTAAAAGATCTAGAGTGACCAAGTCTAGGAGATTCAGGCATACAGATTTGTAAACCTAGGTTTCAATGGAATTACATCTTCGGTGGTATAATCTTGTATTTTTGTTGGTGTTTCTTGGGTTTTGGTCGTTGTTAGTGTTGTAAAAGAACTCAAATCTAAAATGAAGGAGAAGTGAGCGTAAGCCATGTTTTGGTTTGTAGTAGTTAGGTTTATATGTCAGGCTATCAGTAGGCTTCCATTCATTTAAGTTCAATTAGCTTTGTTTCATAATGCTTTAGTTTTAAGTTGGATTTTTAGATGAGTGCTTGCATGCATCTTCCATTTGATCGTGAGCTAGGAAGTAGGAGCAGTGGTGTGTGGCCTATATGCCCTAGTTGTGGGATGGCACAACCAAGCAGCAGGATTATACCTGCATGATTTGCATCTTGTAATCTCTATATAGTTATGCAATACAATAGAAAACATTGTCAGTTGTGATAGCACCAAAACCTCCATGTTCATTGTGTGACCGCGTTGAGTTGTTCTTGAGTGGGTCTTGAGCACATCAGTGACTGGAGGTCATTGGTCATCTCCAACATTTGGTACTAGAGCCATAACCAATCCTCGACGGCATGTTCTTCCATTTGGTGTGCTCTGTGCCGCTTCTTGGTGGCAGTGTGTAAGGAAAATGGACCCTATGACTCATTTAGTTTGGATTTTGGTGTTTGATGATTAACATGACCATTTGAACTAACAATGTTTGCTAGTATACAAGGTATAATTCAAATGGATGCAAGGTGGACTTGAACTTAGGCAAAGTGATGATCTGGATGATCAACACCTCAAGCAAGACATTAGAAGCCATGTTGAAGATCTGCAAGACATGCTAGAAGTCTAAGACACCAATAAGTATAATCCCAGATGCAAAGACACAAACAAATTGAAGCCACTGAAGCCAAGATAAAAGAGATGGATGAATTGGTCCAATTAAGATGATATCAACTCAAAGTTGTAGTGCTCTTCATTAGCTTTTTCCGTAAAGTCCAAGATCATCAAATCGGAGTTTGGAGCTAAAAGTTATGCCCCAAAATATGAAAGCATGTCATGCTAAAAACAGGGTAGTATATAGTCTAATGCTACCAATCCGATGGTCATAGGAACAATCCAATGGTCACATGAACAATTCCATGCTCACAAGGCAAAATGGGAAAATAGGGTAGCATATAGTCTGATGCTACCAATCCGATGGCCATAGGAACATCCGATGCTCATAGAAAAAGTGTGAAATAGCTACTTTCAATGGCTAATCGACATGGCACCATCGGATGCTACGATGGTAGGCATAGGAACATCCCGATGCTCATAAAAAGGTGTGTAATGACTATAGTAACGATTACTTTTGGATGTTGGGGCTATAGATACCCCATTGCTTGGCCATTTGAGGTGTGCCACAACTGAGGGAAGTGTGTGGAAAGTTGAGGCTTATCCATTCGTGCTCTAGACATCAAAAGTGCTTAGGGAAGTATTAGGTGATTAGTGTAGGTGCTTTGCAAAGTGATTAGGCTAGTTAGACAACCACTAATGTGCTTGCTCTAGGTTTAGGTCTAGTGTTTAGTGAGGTTTGCATACCTTTTACCACTCGGTATTTGCGCGCACCATTGTTGTACATTGGAGAGGCTTATAGTCTTGCGAGGCCACACCAGTTGTGTTTGTGGTGTGGCCACCACCGTGTACCAATGGGAACAAGACCCACGACGGTTTGGCCAGAAACTGATCAATAGTAGTGAAGACGATGGGGAGTGATCTAGGAGAGGCTATCTCGGAGACTCACTTGCGCGTGGGGAAAGCTCGGGGGCTATCCATGGAGTTACCCGATCGGGAGCTTGGTCCTTGCGAGGAGGCTTGAACGAGGACTAGGGAAGCATGAGCTTCTCAATACCTCAGTAAAAATACCGACATCGTTGAACGAGAGTTTGCATCTCTATGCCCTTCACCGTCCACATTTATATTATGTGTCTTGGTTGTGTGCTTTACATTCCTAGCTTAGTTTGATAGGCTAGTGATGGGACTGAAACTAGGTCGCATAACTCTTTTGCGGTAGAGATAGCAACATATCTAGCAAAATCTTAGTTACACATCTAGGTGAAAATTAGAGGTCTTAGTTTTAGAAGTAGTTTCTAAGTTGCCTAATTCACCCTCTCTTAGATGTCACGGTCCCTTCACGGTGGACACTCGCCGCCGTCGCGGCATTGGTTATTATCATCGCCAGCTCCTCGTCACGAACGTTGGGCGGTTGGGGCAGCTTGGTCATTGAGCGCGTCGTCAAGGGGGCGAGCGGCTCAGCTTGGAGGACAGGCTCGTCATGGTGGCGATTCTGCACTCTGTCCCACCAGACTTGCTCGGTTCTCTAGCCCAAAAGCGCATCGTGCACTCAGCATGGAGGGCAGTGTAGGAGCGTGTGCGCAAGGCGAACGCGCACCAATTGCTAAAGGAGTTCGGCCAGATCACGTTCAAGGGGGAGTCGGTGGACGACTTCTTGGTTTGCATCGTCGTCCTCACGAACCACATCCACACGCTCGGCCACGATGTCACCGATGCGGAGATCATGAAGAAGATGCTCCAGGTGGTTCAGGAGCACCTCGAGCAGATTGCGTGCTCCATCGAGACCTTGCTGGACGTTGATGACCTCTCCATCAAGGAGAGATATGAGCAGCGAGAGAAAGAAAAAACACCCAAGGAGCAGTATTGTCTTTTCACATGGGCCCTCAATGCTGGTGTGCTGATATGTGGTGCCCGATAGACGAAATTGATAAGAATGTAATTTTTTTTAATTTTATAGGAATATTTAGCAGGATAATTTTGAATGTGTGCCACCATAGGAGAGTATATAGTAAATATTCCTTACAAATCCTTTTTGACAAATCCTCCCTAGTTTGGAAGATGAGGCCCCGATGGAGGTCAACTACGTGTGCACCTGGACCTGCGCCCAACAGATGCGGACAATCCCCACGTGCCCCGCTTAGAGTCGCCTGAGCAAGGGCAGACACAGGTCACGCAACTGCGGGTGGCACAGACCGCCCCTAGGTGCTAACGCATCCACAAAGGACAAGGGCTACACGTTAGGCTTTAGTCCCTCCGAGCTCACAGTGGATGTTGGACTGCTCAATATGCTGCCACGATATGGCCATCTGGCCATGGACAACGACACCTTTGTCGTGCACCGTCTCAAGAATTTCACCAAGCAAGTGTTGTGGAAGATTGCCTCCTCGCTAATTCAACAGCGCTCCCGCTGCGGAGCAAGTGTCTAGCGGCTCGGAGCTTCTCCCGGGTGCCTGGTTTCAAGCGAGGTGAGATACTAATCATGCAGCGGTTGGATTTGGCCTCGGGTCTGTCTACGCTAAGCGCGTCGCAAGGAAGTCCTACGAGGCATCCTATGAGGCTAGGCCAAACGCTTCCAAAGTCGAAGTGTTAGGAGCTCTCTTCCTGAATGTCTAAAATGAGATGCGCTGGCAGCAGCGGAGGTGCAAGCTCACTTTCTAGTCTTTGGCGTTGTCCTTATCTTAGTTGTCAATCATTTGTGTAATATCTAGAGCGCTCATCAGAAGTGTATTGTTTATATAACTATTCTACCTTAATTACAACGATACACGAATCTTTTGCGCATTTACGAGAAAAAAATCCTTTCGTAACACTGTTTTTGACTCTTCGTATTGCCGGGCTACGAGCCTGAAACCATCCGCGCGCAGGACCAGGAGGCTACACACATGAGCAGAGCACACGCACAACAGCGGCAAGCACCTACTCCGTATTTCAGTTGGCCGCCTCACGCCAATACAGTACACGGTACAGAGGTTGTAGTGTTATTTCTGTCCACTAGTATCACGCAGCGTGGGTCGTCTGATAAGTTACAAACAGCTACATTCACCTGCAGAAGCAGAACAGCAGAAGTCGAGTTTCCCGCATCTGGTGTGCGTTGAGTTGAACACTGGCACTACCAAGCAAAAGCAACCCGGCCGGTCGGAAGCAGAAAGCAAGCGGGTGGCACGCAGCACCGCACCTCCATCTCACAGGATCACGCATTTCTGGGCCGCGTCGCACAGCGCCCCCGCCTTCTTCTTGCCGCGCGCCGCGGCCTTCTCCTCCGTCCTCTTGCTCCTTCGCCTGCACACAGAGTCATGTGAAGTTCAAGTTCAATACAAATCCAGCTCCATCTGTGCCGCCTTCCCCTGTTACGCATCCGAGAAAAATGACGATGCAATGTGTCTGTGTCCTCACTTGGCCATCATGACCTTGACGAACTCGTCGTAGTTGATGTTGCCGTCGCCGTCCACGTCGGCCTCGCGGATCATCTCGCTGACCTCCTCGTCGCTCAGCTTCTCCCCGAGGTTGGTCATCACGTGCCGGAGCTCCACCGCGGAGATGAACCCGTTCTGGTCCTTGTCGAACACGCGGAACGCCTCCCTGAGCTCCTCCTCCGACTCCGTGTCCTTCGTCCTGCGCGCCATCAGGCCCAGGAACTCCTGCGGGTCGATGGTGCCGCTGCCGTTGCTGTCCACCTCGGCGATCATGTCCTGCAGCTCCGCCTCGGTGGGGTTCTGCCCAAGGGAGCGCATCACGGTTCCCAGCTCCTTGGTTGTGATGTAACCTGCCAAGTCAAATTGGTTGGACCATGCAAGTCTCCCGCTACACCACTGCAGCTAGCACCATCCGACAGTAGAAAAGGCCACTAAATACATACATATACATATGGCACATTTGCAGCTAAGAAGATAAGAATCACAGGGACTGCCAATAGACATGCCACACCTGGGGCTTCCAGCTGCAGACGATGAGTCTTGAATGGGTATTATAGAAAAATCAATAATCATACAGAAATTTTACATAAATCAGTTTAATTTTGTAGGAGAAATGTTGCCTTGAGTGAGAGAAAATCCTGCATTTCAAAGGTGGCCTTGTACTTTGTGGACGTAATGTGGCGGCTTTAAAATCTTGATAGCATATATCCTTGAACAAATATTATTGATTAGTCCACCATTCCATCGCCACTATTCTATTATACGCCAACAGGGCTCAGCGGGTGAGGTAAGAATCAGATTCGCTTTCATCGCCGCTTTATTCTTCGAACTTTTTCCCATTTTGCAATGAGAGAATGAGAATATATGATTCCATCGAGCAAATAATAACAAAAATAAACCGTGCTACTTCCAACTCTAAGTGGTGGCTGACAAGTTCTTCTATCGAGACTGTAAGTATTATCAGCAAATTTGGGAAAGTAGGTGCTTGGATCAGATGTTTCTAGGCTTGATTCCTTTCTCAAAGGGCGAAATTTTTTCTCCTAGCTCAAAGGGAAACAGAATCCCTTGCGATGGAACATGGCGATGGCTGGATGCTGGAGCACAGGTCATTTTGTTTCAGAAGCAACATGGCCAATCAGCTATGTTGAAAACCGTAATCGAAAATCATTGAATTCCATAGCATGATTCCTCTCACGTTTAAACGGTATTTGTATATCCTTGTTCCTACTAAAATCCTTTCAGATTCTGCTCAGCCAGAAGACAGGTTTGACTCACCGCACAGCACAGAGGCGCTTCGTTTGCGAGACACGGCCGAGAATCACATAAGAACATCGCGACAGTTGACCGACACACTAAAAGCTACTAGTAAAACGCATGATCGGATAGATTTTGCTCGATCGGTGTGGCCGCGAGAGGTCAGGTCAACCAAGAGAGTAGAAGGAGCGTTGGGGAAACGGGAGGGGAGCGAGAAGATTGATACCGTTGCCGTCCTTGTCGAAGAGGCTGAAAGCTTCCTTGAACTCGGTAATCTGGTCTTCGCTGAGCTGGTCCGCCATGGCGATGGAACGGAACGTCCGAGAAGACGAGGGAAGCACGCAAGGCTACGAGTGCGCGTTAATGGCGCGTTTGCTGATTCTGCGCTGGTGCGCGAGACAGTGAGGCAGCTGGGATTTATATACGGTGGAATGGAATGGCCCAACGATAGATAGATAGACCTGACGAGTGGTCATTCAACTTTGGGCCTCGTGGCATTGGTATCTGATTCTTCCTCTGACAATGTATTTCTCTTGAAACATGCTGTGTTTCTCTTGAAACATGCTGTATTCCTATCTGATGAGCAGTTGAGCAACCCATGCACAATATTTGTTATGTGCAACATGCTGAATTTACTGACGGGGACTGCGTAACCCATAGTCACAAAATCCACCTTGTTAAAATGATAATGAAACTGAAGCTGCACAACAGATAAAGCTGAGCTCATCATCCTGAAAAGACATTGTCGGTTAGTAAACAATATAAAATAAAATTACAGACTTATCTGAATGACCCATCACGTTTTCAATATTGTGTGTGAAGATTGACACATGGCACTAACGTGCATACTATCAACTCAACAGAAAGTCGCTGAAAAACATGGAACTCCAAGTAGCAGTTCCACAGATAAATGTTGCAGCTGCAAGAGGCTTTCTAAAATAACATTGAATCCAAACAAACTAGCAAGCTACAATCATTTGTGAAAGCAAATAGGGTATCTACTGAAAGAGAGTACACAGATTGAGACTATATTACAATAGGAGAAGGTTACAAGGTACAAAAAAAATTAGGCATGACCAACAAAAATCAGTAACCAGCTGCTCGTGTTCCCAAAGCTATGCACAAATATCTGACCGTAGAATGAGAGAAACAACTCCCTATGGTAACAAGATAATTTTGGAGGCATCATGCATTTCCAGTATCTTCTTGGCCTGTCAATTGCTCACCCTTAGATACTGGAATAATGCAGCAACTCTCATAGGCCTTGATGTCATGCATTTCCATTATCTTCTTGGCCTGTCAATTGCCTTCCCTCAGATCCAGGAATGATGCAGCAATTCTCATAGGTCTTTCCAGACCTTGTAGTCAGTATTTGAGCTGTTGGGATTTATTGGTGTATCCTGACATCCTAAGAAAAATGTTGGTCGAACATCCATATTGATCAAGGCATGTGCAGTGGATCTTGCACTTGCAACAATAGCGACCTCTCGTCAGCAGTAATCATGGCTTCACCGTATCCTTTATCTTTTATGTCAGCATTTTCCAACTGTCAATTAAGTGAAACAAACAGTCACCACTAGAAGCATCCAATTCTTTACAAAAAGGGTGACGGCTATTATTACCCTGAATTTTGTCTTGGCCCCCCAGATGACGAATGTTTCATTGCAAGTATGGTGACGATGGTTGCCACGTAAACCACCTGGTTGGATCTGTCCGACGTGAAGTAGTAAACAGACCAGTGCCCCACCTGACACAACAACAATAACAGCAAAGAAAACCATTTAGTCCAAGCAAGTTGAGGTGGGCTAGAGTTGAAACCTAGCATGTGCCACCAACAAAAAGGGAAAGTAAAGAAAGGAAAAATATAGCGCTAAAATTTTTTGACTCTTTCATGAGGGGAGGTAGGCAGAGTGACAATGTATACAGTGTTTATCATAGCTATTTCAGCAAGGTTACTATCCCCATCTACGTCTATTCTCCCATAACAAAAGACACGATTGCATGCGGCATAAATATCAATGGTGTGATTGGTTGCTTTCGTTAGCCTTAACCTGTATTAGGCTTTATGCAGCACAACCCAAGCCGGCATAAATGTATGCAATATGTTTATGTTTGGTTGTCTTGTATATGCAAACTGCATTTAGTAAGATTGTGTTTGGTTGCTTGCATTGTGCACCTTCATGTTAAAGTAGAGGCGGGGAAGGTGAGGAGATCCCATTTTTATGAGCGCTATTGGCTTGTGCAAGCCTACATTTTCTAACACAACCAAATCTCACGTACCAGCTAATGCAGACTTAGGCTGCTTTGAGGATTGTGCTGCGGGCAACTAAACACGACTAAGTTGCACTGCACAAGTTTGGATATGGACTAATGCATGCAAACAAACACAGCCTAAGTGCATACACCATTTTTTTTTCTGTGAAATGCAACATTTTGAATTATGGCTTATAGACACAACAACAACAACACCGCCTTTTAGACCACAGCACGTTTTGGTAGGCTAGCCACTAGCACGTGATAATCACCAAACAATGGAATATGCTCGCAGCTATGCAGCTAACGGATGAACACTGAATTCATTTTTTTCATCCTATGACAAGAGTCAGATTTTTTGCTCAGAAATAGCATGGATTTTCCATATTTGTAGATTTGAGGCTCGTATTTTTCCACATTTGTAGAAGATAGAGATATATAACTAATATAGAATCTATAGGGCACTACAAATTATTTGGTGGCTAAAATTGTCTAATATTGAGTATTTGAAAGAAGTTAACCAAAGTCAAGCTGAGCCAAGAATTGATGAAAATGAAGAGGCAGGGGTATTACAAGAAATTCATTCCCACTACCAAACCTACACTAGAGAAAAAATGTAAAAAAAATGATCTCCAGTGATAGCACCAACGGAATGGCAGCAAAGCCATCGATACAACTAGCAAATGCAAAGAAAGCATAGAAGAAAAATTATACACAGAACATAGATACCCAGTTTTTTTATAACTAAAAAACCAGTCACTACATTGATAATGCAAATGTTCTCTTTTCTATATGTTTTTCCCTTGGATTGAAATGGTGCATTCAACATCTTACTAGGACAGTTGGGGCACTTGAGAATAAAGGAAAACGTATATTTCAAAACGATAATGTAGGTAAAGGTACTTTTGGTTGGTAGTTGCCAAAGAAAAACCAAATTATACATTAGTCTATAAATGTGTAGTAGGACTGTAAGAGTATATTTTAACAAATTAGAGCAGTAGAGATGTGATGTATGGGGAAGAAAGCAGCCTCCGGAACATCTCAAGTTAATGGTCTGCAGAGCAGACAGCATCACACATTAGACACAATACAGAGGTTCCTGCTGTTAAAAACACAATGTCTGTCACATAGACAGGCTGTATTTCCAGTTCAATCAACAATAGATCTGATACAACAGTTGTGTTCTGTCATGCAATCGCCAACTACACCTGCCATTGGGTTATGCAATGGGCTAAAATGGCACTATATCAATAGACCAGCAGCATTTGACGTAAGATGCAGATAGGCGAATATGGGATTTAACTTGATACCCTCAGACAGAAGTTGAAACCTCAATGATACACAAAAAGGATCAGTGTTCTATGAAGCATGATGAGTACAGAAGAGACGCTAGCATATTTACATCCACTTACGGATATGAAAGATGCTTTTGCAGAATTGCAGTTCACTAGCTTCAACTTCAGAGCATCAGTTCTCCCGTTCACTAACTACCAACTGAGCAAACGGGAGCTGCAGTCTCGCAGATAAACTTCAACTTTAGCCAACGCATTTTGATCTAATCTATGGAATTTCACCACACTATCCAACGTTAATTATCTTCACAGCACTCTTGCTACAATTGCAGCAGCGATTGGCTCATCATAGGAGGCGTGAGTTGAGGAGCGCTCACCTGGAAGGCCGGCGTCGCGGGCGGCGGCGACGGGGTCCAGGAGCCACCCGCGCCGGTCGCGGGCGATGGGGGTGGGGTGGAGCTCCGCGGGGAAACGGACGAGGTTTGCTTCAGGATCGTGCACGACGGAGGGACGGCCGCCGAGCGACGGTGGCGGCGAGGGGTGGTGGAAGCGGAGCGAGAGCCAGGTGAGGAGGACAAAGAGTGAGAGAAGGAAAGGGAAGGACGCCGGCCGCTTCAGGAAGTGGAGCAGCGACGACGCCAGAGAGGAGTGAGGTGGAAGGGCGGCGGCGGTAGTTGGGAGAGGAGGTGGCTGCGTCTGGATGTGCAGCGCGATGGCTCGCCTCGGGTTCGCCATCGACGGTCGCCGCCCGGCGGATCGGCGGTGGCGGCGAGCTGTTCGTGGGGACGGGTTGCTGCCTTGCCGACGCCGCAATGGGCTGAGCCGCTGAGGCGCCAAGCCCACGGGTTCAACGGCCTGTACAGCCTGGCTCTTGTGCCTGGGCCCGTCTCGTTTCGCTACTCGAATCAGCTGGGGCCCAGACGGCAGAAGCATTACCGTTACACGGGCTTGCTGGCGCACGGAGGTCCGGACAGACAGGACGTACGGACACCCTCGTGTGTAGCCATTTTTCCTGCCGTTTTGTATAGCCCACGCTGTTCCGAATATTACCAGCGTCGAGAAAGAAAGAGAGAGCGGCGGAAGCCCAGCCGGCGTCAGCAGAATGAGCAAGCACCGAGGCGAGATAGCCAGAAGCGAGAAAGGAGATGCATCGTCTCATCTATTTTTAAAATATTTAGACGCAATACGTGTAACATACGTCTGAAGATAGATGAAATACTTGAAACCACGTCTAAAAAACATCTGAAAACCATTGCAAACATATGCAACATTCAGATGAAACACTTGCAAACATGCATATGAAAACACTTTGAACAATTGAAACATATGCTTGCAACATGTATGTACATGCAAACATTTAGATCTATTTTTGCAACATCCAGATAAAACAATTGCAACATACTTCTACAACAGATGACACATTTGGAACATACATTTGAAATATACGTGTACAACCATTACAATATGTGCAACATTCCGATCTACTTTTACAACATCAATATACAATATTTGCAACATACCTCTGAAACATCTGAAAACACTTAAAACGTACTCTTACAACATGTGCTTTTAGCATAGCATGAACTTGCTGATTGGATGAATAGAGGCTCATCGATGCGGAGCTCGATGCCGCGGAGTGGAAGGGGGGAGATATCAGCGGGCGAGCGACTGCGTAGCCCAGGCGGGCCATTCTCGTTCTCGCAGTCGTCCGTGTAGTGCAGCGGGTGTAACACCCTAGGTGTTAAGCATGCATTTAGCATTGGCATTGCATGAGCACAAGCATCATTGATCATTCATGAGTATGAGCATCTCAAATTTTATCTCTATGATTGCTTTTATCACAAGTGTTTGTCACTAAATGCTTTACATATGCTAGGGTTTATATGTAACCAATGTATAAAATATTTGTGGGACCTTAGAAGTATCTTAAACATGTTTAGAATATCATATGGAACAACTTTTATATTCATGACTTGGACCAATTTGGCCTCTAAGTATGGATGAAAACGGTACGGATATTTATTCGACCGTCCGTTCGACCGAACAAATATGAACACTTATCTGGATAGTTACTCGGATATCCGTAATTTTTTTCGGATACGGATACTAAAACGGATATCTTAGGCGGATATCAAATACGGATGTAATATCATCGATATCCGGCGGATATCGGATAATCCGGATAAGTATCGGATATATCCGGATATTTAAAAACGGATATTATCCGGATATTATTCAAACGACCTTGGATGGAGAAATGATCAAAATAAAAATTGTAGATCTCAAAAAGTTATGAAACTTTGTTGTTTACAACTTTTTCGTTTGAAATCATTTAGTGCTTCAAAATTTAAACCGTCCAAACTTTCTCAAATGGAAAACTAGTTTATAGGCGTCAAAATTTAAAAATCACAAATTTGAACCATCCAAACTATCTCAAATGGAAAGTTGACCAAAACAAGAATTGTAGATCTTGATGAGTTGAACAAACTTGGTATTCAAAACTTTTAAATTTGAAGTCATTTAGAGTTCATAATACTAGAGTCAAAGTGTTGTTTTTTCATTTGACCAAATTTGACTTGGTCAAACTTGCTCAAATGAGACACTAAATGACCTCAGATGAAAAAACTCTGAATACCAAGTTTGATCATCTCAGCAATATCTACAATTGTTACATAGCTCATTTTTCCATTTGAGAAATTTTTATCAAACACTAGTCACAAATTCTTGAATTTCATATAGACTTTCTGAAACTATGTCACACATTTGTGAAATTTGAACTATATTTTGTTCAAACTTTCTCAAATGAAAAAATAGACTATATAAGGATTGTAGATCTTGATGAGATGAACAAACTTGGTATTCAAAACTTTTCAATTTGAGACAATCTAGGGTTCCGAAAACTAGTTTGTAAACGTCGAAATTTAAAAATCATAAATTTGAACCATCCAAACTATCTCAAATGGAAAGTTGACCAAAACAACAATTGTAGATCTTGATGAGTTGAACAAACTTGGTATTCAAAACTTTTCAATTTGAAGTCATTTAGAGTTCATAATACTAGAGTCAAAGTGTTGTTTTTTCATTTGACCAAATTTGACTTGGTCAAACTTGTTCAAATGAGACACTAAATGACCTCAGATGAAAAAACTCTGAATACCAAGTTTTATCATCTCAGCAAGATATACAATTGTTACATAGCTCATTTTCCCATTTGAGAAAGTTTTATCAAACAATAGTCACAAATTCTTAAATCTCATATAGACTTTCTGAAACTATGTCACACACTTGTGAAATTTGAACTACATTTTGTTCAAAATTTCTCAAATGAAAACATAGCCTATATAAGGATTGTAGATCTTGATGAGCTGAACAAACTTGGTATTCAAAACTTTTCAATTTGAGACAATCTAGGGTTCCGAAAACTAGTTTGTAAGCATCGAAAATTTAAAATCACAAATTTGAACCGTCCAAACTATCTCAAATGGAAAGTTGACCAAAACAAGAATTGTAGATCTTGAAGAGTTGAACAAACTTGGTATTCAAAACTTTTCAATTTGAAGTCATTTAGAGTTCATAATACTAGAGTCAAAGTGTTGTTTTTTCATTTGACTAAATTTGACTTGGTCAAACTTGTTCAAATGAGACACTAAATGACCTCAGATGAAAAAACTCTGAATACCAAGTTTGATCATCTCAGCAAGATCTACAATTGTTACATAGCTCATTTTTCCATTTGAGAAAGTTTTATCAAACACTAGTCACAAATTCTTGAATCTCATATAGACTTTCTAAAACTATGTCACATACTTGTGAAATTTGAACTACATTTTGCTCAAACTTTCTCAAATGAAAAAATGGCCTATATAAGGATTGTATATCTTGAATCCATGACCATGACTCCATGAGACCCATGAAGCCATGAGCTTGGCTATTTCTACTCATGCCGCGAAGATTGGTGCTTGTATGATGTTTGATGTATGATGTATCTGTATCTTTATCTTATTTGTTGCTTTACTATTTAGTCTTTCGGCTTAATCTAGATGGATTATGGACTCATAGAGTGGTGTAATGGTTTTGCATGATATATATATATATATCTTTTTTACTCAATATCCGAATAGATATTTGTATCCGACCTTCTCCGAATCTGATTCATACCGTATTCGATACTCATTATTCGTATCCGTAACCGAGTCAATCCGTATTCGTATATGTATCTGAACGCTATCCGTGTCCGAATCCGAATCCGAACAGAAATATGAAAACAAATATAATATGAGTGATATCCGTTCGTATCCGATCCGTTTTCATCCCTACCTCTAAGTCATGGTTATAGTGTGGGCTTTTATTTTCATGTTACATGTTTGACCTATGTTGAACTTTACTCTAGAGACTTTGCATGGCAGTGCACCCTTAAGTAAACTTGTAGTAATTAACTAGGGTAATAATTTTTATTTTTGGATCGAGGTCTAATTCAGTGCTTAACATGGTGAAATGTTGTTTTATAGACTTGAAATTTTTCGAAGTCTAAACTGCGTTTACAGTTTCCATGTACCTTATTTGGGAGCATTGTAACAGGCTAACCATTGAGAATTTGCGGATGGTTCTTAAAGCAAGTTTGTAGATTACATATAACTCTACAATTTCTATTCTGGGAATTTTAGCTAACTCTAACTCGTTTGGGAAATATTGGTGATCAAATTAGCTCTGTCAGTCACGTTCATCGCCTCTGATGGCCGCGTCCACGCCGCCGTCAGTGGCCGACCATGGCAGGCCAGGCGCGCCGCATGGCGGTCGTACGTCAGCGTCGGCCCGGCCGGTCAGGCCAGCGCGGAGGAATAAGTCATGCGCCTCTGCTGCTCGTTCCTTCACTCTCGCGCCTCGCTTCTCTCGCACGCGCCAGAGCAAAGCGCAACACCGCGCCACCGCGCCATTGCCGTCGCTGCGTCGTGCTCACTCGCCGCCATCGCTGCATCACCGTCCAATCCAGCTCGCTAATAGCTCTGCCATTATCACCTCTTCCACCCCGACCCGTTTGCCCCTCTTGTCGAGCCAGGGTAAGGGCGCATTTCGCTCACCGCCACCGCGCCATCACCGGAGCGGCGCCGCGCTCTCAGCCCACCATGGCCAGCCACACCACGTGCGCCTCCACTTTCTCTCTCCCTCGTCTAGTCATCGCCGTAGGTCCTAGCATATTTACCCATCGCCCATCTTGATGCTACCGCCTGGTTGCGTCGGAACGCGCCGCCACTCCGCGCGCAGCCGCCATTACCGTCGTGGCAACCGAGCTCGCCGTTGTCGAGCTGGCCCATCGCCTCCCTCCTCTTTCGCGAGCCTAAGGTTGTGTAAGCCTAGACCTAGCGTATGGCATGATAGAGACCCGCCTCTCGCTGCCGTCTAGCTGGAACGGTGGGAGCACCACCGTGCTCCGTGCGCCGTTGCCGCGGCATGCACGTGGTCGGAGCTCGTCGTCGCATCACCGGAACCCTAGCCACCTAGGTTAGCTCCAATAGGTTACCACGAAGCTATAGAGCACCTCACCGGAGCAGATGGAGGTCGGAGGACGTCGGTGTACCGCCGCGCGACCACCGCCATCCGCCATTGCCGTCGGCAAGCTACTTTCGGTGAGCTTCTAGGCAAACTGTGCACACCTATTGATGCGGCTTAATGAGATATCACTGGCCGAAGCACATCCTCTGCTCTAGAGTCGCTGACGTGCAGGTCCCACTGACTAG